TATATCAGGTACGATTCCGCTATTTAGTTATGATTCTCAATTATTCAATATGAACGCTCTTGGGATTAATATCGATTTATATCGAATAAAATTAAATACAGTTTTCTAACAATTGGTATCAGAGCTTTCTTCATATTGAATTTTTGGGAATCAGTTTATCTCTCTGTATGACAAATCCGATATTATGTTGCTCTCGGATGTCAATGAAAATTGATTCAGTTTTCATATCTGATTACCAATAATGGTCAGATTATTGCCATAGAAATTGCAATTCGTGAATTGATATGGAATTGAAATGATTAGATCAATTGTTTATTCAATTATTGTTTAATATCACTAAAGTGGTGGGACAATAATTTTGGACGCATATGGTTTCTATGGCATCTATCATTTAAATTATTTATTTTGGATAGATATTCAAGGCATTATTTACTAAATTATTTGATCCCATCAGCCATTTATACGTAAGATTCAAAGATGATTGGGTTGGAGTTACTCTAAATTAGATCATATTTAATTTAAATAAATTAATTGAAACAAAATGTTACCAAAGTGACCTCTTTTGTGTAGATTAATTTATTTAAATACTAAAGATTGTTGTATTTTTGTAATTCATGCGTGTGTTGATTAACCCAAAGGTGAACCGACTCATGGCCGAATTACAAACATACATGTGATAATAAATCTGTGACAATTATAAAGTTTTTCACGTGAACAATAATTCTATCCAAAGATAGTTTATTGTTTGACAGAATTTATTGTCAAGATTTGATTATTAAAACAAGAGTACCGCTTACAATTAATATTATTATCCAAAGATTTGATATTAATGTTGTACTTGGTATCTTGCTATGGGTTTAAACCGTATTTGGTTTAAATAATTAATAATGGATAATAATGTGAGTATCTATGTTTATTATTCTCTTCAGGTTCTTCATCTATGATATCTGCCAACTATCATGTCCCCACTTTAACTGGGGATAACTTTAAGACCTGGAAAGAATCAATTTTGATTCATTTGGGCTGTATGGATCTAGACTTGGCATTAAGGGTAGACCAACCTGCTTCTCTTACGGAGAAAAGCACTATTGAGGAAAAACAGTGCTTTGAGAAGTGGGAAAGGTCTAATCGCCTTAGTCTAATGATCATAAAGAAAAGCATTCCAGAAATTTTTCGAGGAACGATATCTGATGATATCACTTTGGCTAAAGAGTTCCTTGTCGAGATTGAAAAGCGCTTTACCAAAAGCGATAAGGCGGAAATGAGTACTCTTTTAAAGACACTCATTACCATGAGGTATCTCGGCAAAGGTAACATAAGGGAGTACATCCTCAAGATGTCCAATATTGCTTCTAAATTGAGGGCACTAAAGTTAGATCTTTCGGAGGACATGCTTGTCCTATTGGTCCTGCTCTCACTTCCTACTCAATACGATCAGTTTAAGGTCAGTTATAACTGCCAAAAGGAGAAGTGGACTCTTAATGAGCTCATTTCTCACTGTGTTGAGGAAGAAGACAGAATGAAGCATAAAAGGGCTGAGGAGGTACATATGGTTGGTACCTCGAAAGATCCTGGTGGCTTTAAAAGAAAACATAAGGCCGTTAAGGTTGAGACTGCAACTAAGGGTCCAGATCCTAAGGTTAAACCGGAGGAAATTTTATGTTTCTTCTGTAAGAAATCTGGACATCTAAAGAAAGATTGTGCTAAATATTCCGCCTGGCGCGTGAAGAAAGGTACATTCTTTAATTTGGTTTGTTCTGAAGTTAATTTTGCTTCAGTACCTAGAAACATTTGGTGGTTAGACTCTGGTTCAACTACTAACATCAGTGTTTCATTGCAGGGTTGCCTGAGCTACCGAAAACCAACTGATGCTGAAAGACGCATTTACTTTGGAAATGGTGAATCGGTAAGTACTGGATATTTTGTAGAATTAAAAGACACTTTTGTTATACCGTCTTTTAGACGGAATTTGATTTCTGTTTCTTATTTGGACAAATCTGGTTATTGTTGTTCATTTGGAAACAATAAAGTTGTGTTGTCTTTTAATTCTAATGTGGTTGGTTTTGGTACTTTTATGGCAAATGATAATTTATATATGCTAAATACTATAACTTCCTATAATGAAACCCTCAATGTGGAATCAAAAGGTACAAAGCGAAAATTAGATGAATCAAGTTTGCTATGGCATAAACGTTTGGGTCATATTTCGATAAATAGAGTTGAAAGACTCATTAAGGATGGAATTCTTGATTCTATTAATTTCTCGGATTTTGATGTTTGTGTCAATTGTATTAAAGGTAAACAAACCAAAGTAAAGAGGATAGGTGCTTATCGAGCTACGGAAGTCTTAGAGTTGATACATACGGATATTTGTGGGCCTTTTCCTACACCTTCGTGGAATGGTCAACAATACTTTGTATCATTCATAGACGATTATTCTCGATATTGTTATTTATACCTCATATGGGAAAAATCTGAGGCATTGGACATGTTCAAAGCATTTAAGGTTGAAGTTGAAAATCAACTCAGTAAACGCATTAAGATCATCAGATCTGACCGTGGAGGTGAATATTACGGCAGAAATGATGGATCTGGTGAACACCGTCCAGGCCCATTTGCTAACTTCCTTAAGGAGTGCGGAATAGTTCCTCAGTATACTATGCCAGGTTCGCCTAGCATGAATGGAGTTGCTGAGAGACGAAATCGCACATTAAAGGATATGGTTCGAAGTATGATTTGCCAATCTACTTTGCCACGATCCTTGTGGGGGGAGGCACTAAAGACTGCAGTTTACATACTAAATCGAGTACCAACTAATGCAACAGCTAAAACACCCTATAAATTATGGACTGGGCGTAAGCCTAGCTTAAGGCATTTTAGGGTGTGGGGTTGTCCAGCTGAGGCGAGGCCTTATAGGTCAAATGAACCAAAGCTAGCTCCTCGTACGGTTAGCTGTTATTTCATTGGTTACTCAGAACAGTCGAAGGGGTATAAATTTTATGATCCCACATCAAGAAATATTTTTGAGACGGGTACTGCCACGTTCTTTGAGGATGTTGAGTTTGGGGGGAGAAATACAGTTTCAGACTTTACTTTTGAGGATCAAGAAATCACCAAAGTGGTTGACCCGATTCCTCAAGAGGAAATAGTCATTCCAGCTCCCATACAGTTTCAAAATACTTCTGAGGAGATTGTTCATTCTGAACCTGAACCTCAGCATGTACCTATAGAACAAACTCAACAAACTCAAGAACATACAGTTCAAGAGCCAATGCTTTTGCGGAGATCCACTAGAGAACGTAGAAATGCCATTCCGGATGATTATTTGGTATTTCTTCAAGAAAATGAGGATGTGGGTGACTTGAATGAGATTGATACAGTTTCAGACTTTACTTTTGAGGATCAAGAAATCACCAAAGTGGTTGACCCGATTCCTCAAGAGGAAATAGTCATTCCAGCTCCCATACAGTTTCAAAATACTTCTGAGGAGATTGTTCATTCTGAACCTGAACCTCAGCATGTACCTATAGAACAAACTCAACAAACTCAAGAACATACAGTTCAAGAGCCAATGCTTTTGCGGAGATCCACTAGAGAACGTAGAAATGCCATTCCGGATGATTATTTGGTATTTCTTCAAGAAAATGAGGATGTGGGTGACTTGAATGAGATTGATCCGATTAATCTCAAACAAGTCATGAAGGATCCCAACTCAACTAAATGGATCGAAGCAATGCATGAAGAGTATAAGTCAATGCAAGACAATAAGGTTTGGGAACTTGTCCCATTGCCAGAAGGTGCAAAACCTGTTGGTTGCAAATGGATTTTTAAAACCAAACGGGATGCAAATGGTAATGTGGAGAGGTATAAAGCACGTCTTGTGGCTAAAGGCTATACTCAAAGGGAAGGGATTGACTATAAAGAGACCTTTTCTCCGGTATCCTCGAAGGACTCTTTTAGAACAATCATGGCTCTAGTGGAACATTTTGATTTAGAGTTACATCAGATGGATGTAAAGACAGCGTTTCTCAATGGTGACATTGATGAGACGATCTATATGGTACAACCAGAAAGCTTTGAGGTTGATGACCCAAAGAAAATGGTTTGTAAATTAAAGAAATCCATCTATGGGCTCAAACAAGCGTCTCGACAGTGGTATCACAAATTTCATCAAATAATTATCTCGTATGGTTTTGAGATGAATATTGTTGATGATTGTGTTTATCATAAGTTCAGTGGGAGTAAATTTATTTTTCTGGTTTTGTATGTGGATGACATTCTGCTTGCCACAAACGATATGTGCATGTTGCACGAAACTAAGAAATTTCTTTCGAATAATTTCGAAATGAAAGATCTTGGTGAAGCGTCTTTTGTATTAGGAATCCAGATACACCGAGAGCGATCTCGAGGTATTCTAGGATTATCACAAAAGAGCTATATCGATAAAGTACTTGAGCGATTTGGCATGCAGAATTGCAAACCAGGAAATACCCCTGTGGCTAAAGGTGACAAATTTAGCCTAAGTCAATGCCCAAAAGGAAATTTGGAAATCCAGGAAATGCAGAAGGTCCCTTATGCATCGGCAGTTGGGAGCCTAATGTATGCTCAAGTATGTACGCGTCCAGATATTGCGTACATAGTGGGTATATTGGGCAGATATCTTAGTAATCCTGGATTGGATCACTGGAAAGCAGCCAAAAGGGTGATGAGATACCTTAAGAGAACTAAGGATTACATGCTCACATATAGGAGATCAGATCATTTCGAGATCGTTGGATATTCTGACTCCGATTTTGCTGGGTGCCAAGACAGTAGGAAATCTACGTCTGGGTACTTATTTATGTTGGCTGGTGGTGCCATTTCCTGGCGTAGTGCTAAACAAACACTTGTTACCACTTCTACTATGGAAGCTGAGTTTGTGGCGTGTTTTGAAGCATCAAACCAGGGAATATGGTTAAAGAACTTTGTCACAAGGCTGCGAATTATTCCGGAGGTTGAAAGACCTATTAAAATATTTTGTGACAATAAATCAGTCGTTCTGTACTCCAACAACAATAGGAGCTCGTCTAAGTCAAAGCATATTGACATTAAGTTTCTAGCTGTAAAGGAGAGGGTACAAAGTGGTCAAGTTTTCATCGAACACTTAGGGACAAAATCTATGTTAGCAGATCCCCTAACTAAAGGTGTAACACCTACGGTATTTTACGAGCATACTGCTCATATGGGTGTGTTACATAGTCAGGAAGCTTCACTCTAGTGGGAGTATTTGCTACATATTTTGTCATTTTTATTCGATAATATGTAAATTACTTATTCTGATCAGAAATAAAGTTTTAGTTTATGACACTTTGTACATTGTGATATGGTACTTAACGATCTCATTAAGTTTGGACTAGTTGAAAATTGACATGTACTGATCACACTCATGTAATTTTCATGCCACATGTTCCACAGTTTGATCTATGTCATTTAATCATGGTGATATATGTGATTATTGATAGTTTAGCTGTGTTTATATGGCGAAAACTGCTTTAGTCCTATATTATTGTGATTAATGGACCAGATTGTTTAAGTTCTGTAATAATGACCATATTTTGAGCTCATAAGGTATAATGTATTATCAGGACACATATTTAATCCAGTGGGAGATTGTTAGATCTATTTTGGATTAAATATGTGTAATTAATACATTTGGTCATTATAATTGTTTAGCCAAATTAAGTGATCAAATTATTGTACATTGGCTAAGGAACTTAATTT